ATGGAGGGATGGTCACTGGGAAGAGGTAACTATGGGGAGGAAGTGGGAGGGGAGCTGTTGCATTGTGGTAAACTGTGGTCAATGACATGAGACAAGGTATATGTGAACTGCTGTATGGAAAGTGAATTTGCTCTGTAAATCTTCACCCAAAATAAATAAATAAATAAATAAAAATAAAGAACTTGAGTTATAAACTATCTAGGTATGTGTATTGGCTTTGCCACTCAGCTACTGTGTGCTTCTGCTATTTAGCCATGTGTTACCTAAGTTACCTAAGGAGCTCTGATGGCATAGTGCCTAGGGCATTTGACTCCAAAACCCAGAGGGGGTCTTATGAGTCATGATTGACTTGGTGGCAGTGAATTTGGTTTGGTTTTTACCAAAGTTTATATATCTGTATAACTAGAATAATAGTAATGTCTATCTCTGGGTTTTTCTGAGGAGTAAATGAGAATTTAGAACAGTGCCTAGTACATAGTAATGCTTAGGAAATGTTAACTCTTAGAATTATTGTTATTATTGGCAGAGCTGAACTGTTTATTTTGTAAACACATAAATATAGGAATCCTGTAATACAAGTGAGATCCAATGTTCGATGGGGGTTATAGCCTGTTACTGAAAGGAGTAGGTATAGAGCTATTGACCTAAGGTCGTAGCCCAGAAAGATCTTTGAGTTTTGGGAGTAAAAATCTGGCAAAACCTATGGGCTTCCTTTAGTATTTTATCTTGAGTTTGATACTTTCTGGATATTAGAGCTCTTCCCTTTCCAATATTAATTAGATGATTTCTTTACCAGTGGAAACTTAGATGTGTATCTTTTCATGGGACAGTGAAAATGCTTCTGATGGCAAGATTTGTTGGTACTAGATTAGTTTGTGGCCGTGATATCTTGCTATAACCCAATCATTTTGTGCTTAAGGGACTAGAAATGAGGACATTATGTATTATTTTTGTTATTCCCCTAGGATAGTGAAGAGTTGGCTTCTATCTTAAATGTTTCTTTATCTGGTTAAATAATTCCAAAACATTTTCAAAGCTTTTAGAAAAGGAAGAAACAGGTTATGTTGAAGAAATACAGTCTGAAGAAACTGCTATTTCTGATTTCTCCACTGGTGAGAATGTTGGACCACTTGCTTTACCAGTTGGGAGAGCAAGGTAAGTTTTTTCTTAGCACGGGGGTATAGGTGGGAGGTATTTAGATTGAAGTATTCTTATAAACATTGGAAAGAATATGTATCTAGTCCAGGTCTTTTTTTTTCTCTCTCTTTCTCCCTTCCTTTCTTCTACCTTCCACCCTACTCCTATCCTTGCCATATTTATTCCCAGTTTGTAGTAGTTCTGAGCTGTCACACTCTGTCACATTCTTGTGTGTACATCTTGATCTGCCTGTGGGTCCTTTTGCCACCTCTGCTGGGTAAAATAATTTGTATGCATCTTGCCACTTAACTCCCTGACTTCTGTTTTTGTGAGACCTTCATGCTATATTTGGAAAAGAAAACTTGACTGATTATATAATTGCTTAATAGCAATCTCTACCTATAATTTATTCTTTTTACTCATGTTTTTAAGGCAGTTAATTGGACTTTACACCATGGCTCATAATCCTAATATGACCCATTTGAAGATTAATCAGCAAGTTACTGCCCTTCCTCCCCTTTGGATAAGATGTGACAGTTCAGATCCTGAAGGTACCTGTTGGCTGGGTGCTGAGCTTATCACAACAAACAATGGCATTACAGGCATTGTCTTATATGTGGTCAGTTGTAAAGGTGAGAGCTCACTCTTGTTTTTTATATGTATACTCTTTTTGGTATAATGTTTTATGGTTTTTCCTGAAAATTGATATTGTTAAGAGGGAAGTGCACACAGTGGAGCTTGCAATAAACACCATGAATCTACTCTAGTTTGTAACGTAGCAGCATATAGGAGGTATTCTACAAATACCAGAAATACATCTTCGAAAGTCTGGAAAGGAGTTTATGCCTATTTTATTGGGTTATTTGATTTGTATGTCTCTGTTTTTTGAAATTCTCATTGTTCTACTTTCAGGTTTTTTTTTAATTTTAAATTTCATTAATCTGTCATTTAAAATTTAGTTTCAACACTTTCTAGTGTCAAATTATAGTACCCTCAGAATTTGAGGATTGTAATTTTCTAGCTCTCTAACAGTATAACTTTGAATTGTACGTTAATTTTCTTTTTTTTCTTTCTTTCTGCCTCTCTTTTTCTCTCTCCTTTCCTTCCTTTTTCCCTCTCTCTCTCCCTCCCTTTCTTTCCTTCCTTTCTTTCATGTCCTATAGCTGATAAACATTATTCTGTACATCTTGAAGACCTAAAAAATTCACACAAGAAAAGGCATCATTTGTCCACTGTGAGTATTTCTCTTCTACTCATATTGTACTTTTTTTTCAAACTGTTATCCACCTGCCTTTCTAGTTTAAGTGATTTTTCACTCCTAATATAACTAGATAATTTTCTGTAGGATCAAAATATTTCCATCAGGTAATGATTAAAATTAAAATATGATTTCTTGCCTTTCATCTGATCTTTTTGGTTAAAAATAAGTGTGTTATTTTCCCATAAAAGTATGGTGCTTTGTCTTCTTCTGGGACAAAAACAAAGTAGTTTTGATAAGGAGTTTTGGCCATGGGAAAGCATCTCTGAACAGTCTGCTGGATCTACTCTTTTCAGGTAACAACCAGGGGCTTTGCCCAGTATGAGCTCTTTAAGTCTACTGCCTTGGATGATACAGCTTCCACATCACAAACTACAATCACTTTGGATATTTCCTGGAGTCCTGTGGATGAAATTCTTGAAATCCCTCCACTTTCTTCAACTGCAACTCTGGTAGGAGCAGACCGTATTTTTTCCATCAGGTTAATGAGGCCCCTAACTGATCGTATACTTGCTTATAGCTGGTGCTACACTCTTACAGCTCCAGTATTCCCTGGGGGTGATGCTAGACAGCCAGAAAGGTTTGGCTTGTCCCTGAAGTCTCATCAGGGCAGCCAGGGGGCGTTTTGCCAGATGATCTGCTCTGTCAGTTGCCCTCAACCCTGTAGTTATGTAACTTAAGAATTTTCCAGTGATTGGTAAAGTCTCTTGAATGAAGAATCAAGTGGAAACATCAAAGTGACTTCTCTCTTCAATTCTTTTTTATTTTATTATTATTATTTTTTTTATTAATTTTTGTTGTGCTTTGGGTGAAAGTTTACAGAGCAAATTCATTTGACATACATATTTTGTCTCGTGACATTGACTGCCATTCCCCGTAATATAGCAGCTCTCTTCTCACTTCCTCCCTGTAGCTACCTCTTCCCTGTGCCTTCCCTCTCATCCAATCCTGCCCCCTGAGCTATCTCCACGTACAAACACTTTTCTTCTATTCTCCCATGATGAAATGCTCCTAGGAGTATATTTACCTGATATAAATGTTCACCCCATATGCCTCTCTTTTGTTAGGCTGGAAGCCACAGGAGTGAGTTCCAGACCTGAAAAGTAACTAGGGGCCACAGTCTCAGGGGTCTCACCAGGCTCTATCAGACCAGCAAACCTAGTGTTTTTTTTTTTTTTTT